ACTACTACTACTACTACTACTACTACTACTACTACTACTACTACTACTACATACTACTACTATAGAATCTAAACACCTAGGGACAAAGCAGAGTCCAACATAGTCCAACATATTCTCGTTCAGACAGATTCAATCAGTCTTGTTCACGCGTCTGGATGAATATGTTTACTCCTTTGCATTCCTTTTTCAGTGCTAGTCGCTGCTCGATATGATGGGAGCTTGATCCCGCGCTCACCTGGACCGAAAGAGCTGCATCTACACACTGGCCATGGACACGATTTGCGTCCAGCATTTGTAAACAGCAGCTGTGAAGGCAACTGTGTACTCAGCCGAAGCAGGCAAATGCTTTCCACCTTGCCAACCTTTGGACCCATCCGATTTGAGCACAGATGTGTAGTACTCAAGAGGCTGATCCCTTTTCAGATTGCGCTTCTTCAAACGCTCCTCAGCAGAACAGAATTGGGAACTTAGCAAAAGGACTGCTTACTCCAAATGCGTAACAAACTCACACAGCATTCAGCAATCACTAAACTTGAACAGCGTCTTTGATGCGGATGCGGTCTTTCTTCTTTAGATGACGCTCCAACTTGCGAGCCGTCCTACCAACAAACACGTCATCAAGCTTCGCAGCGCAAAAATGCAAACAACATAGGTCAGGTAATGGACAGGAATTCAGATGCATACGCCATCATACGCCCCACTCTGAGGACTGAACTTCATGTTGGTCAGGAGGTGACTCGGCTTTGCCAAATCATGCCCAAAGAGTCCCATCCATGTCAAGATTGTCAACCTGAGCTTCATGGGTTGAGACCTTTGATTTTATAGTGGTCATGGGCGCAAGGTGTTCTCATTGTAAAGGCTTATAATGCTAGACATAGGATTGATCGCTCCTAAACCTCATATCAAAACAAAGGAACATGCCACCAATCATCTTGAGGTCCTTCATGTACGGTTGTTTGAACGCCCAGCTTTGCGCAGGCTGTTCCACCATGATGAAGACTCGCCGTGGTAGCTCGAGCAGAATCTTGATCACACAGGCCTCAACATGTCTCGCGTTGTCATGCCACTCCGGTGGCTCGTACCCTATGTCTGGAAAATAAACTTTGCAAGTCTGCGCAAGCAAATCGCAATTGCTCCAGTGTCATGCAAAATTTGCTCACAGGATTTCACGGGACATCCCATTCCAGCCGAGAAGCAAAGTTGTGCCAAATGGTGTTTGAAAGACGCACCTTCGCGTTCTTGAGGTTGCCCTCCAACTGCATGTTGCTCCGCTTGTGAACTGATGACGACGCGCCGATGTGCATGGAGCAAGGCGGTCCAGCCATCACAAGCCCGTTCTCTCGGAGCCTCAAATGAAGAGAAACAAAGAGAAACATCGTGCTCGCGATTCTCGGACATCAGCTGAAACAATATGGAGCACAAAACAAATTTATGCAACCCATTGCAATGCCAAACTACTGCAAGGTCATCTCCAGCAATTCGTAGAAGCCTCGCCGCGTCACCAGATCTTGATTGATATCCAGCTTGATATCAAACGCCAGACTAGCAAATCCTTCTGCAGCCCACTTGTGCCTTAGGCAACATCCGTCATCAACCAAAAAGCGCAAAATTCTTTCCAGCCGCGCCAATCAAACACTTGAAGCTACATGATTCGCCAAGCCACGCGAAGCGCTGTGAAAAGCCAAACGCATCGACGACGTGCGCCCAGCGAAGCCCAGTCCAACTCTTGGCCCAAGCAAAGGCTTCCGCATAGTTGCTACTCTCTGCTGCATGAAACCACCTAGGGCGCTAAGATGCGCTAAGTGGCTATGTTGTGCTTTCATGAGAGGGTTGGCATGGGTTGGGTTTCTCACCTCCCTCACCTTTAAAAAATTCTATAGAATCAGGCCACCTTGGAAACATGTTACCTATAAAATCAGGACCCCTTGCAATGATCCACCAGTCACACTGGGTAAACCTCAGGGGACAACTGCAACAGCATGGAAAGCACATAGAAACAATGAGAAGCAATGGTAAGCCACAAAGATTCCTCTACACTGCAAGTAGTGTCATCATCAAGCCGGGGCGTGGATGCAGCCAATGCCCAGAGACAGGCAACAACGAAGCATGGCCCAAAGGTTCTCATTTTTGAAGGTTCCAGTCGCGGAAAGCTTGTGCCCGCAGACGCATGTGAACACTGGAACCAAAATGCCGCTGCACTATATGCATTGTCATTGTGCATGCACAGACCGCTGAGATTTCCCAAAAAGACGTCTGTCACGAAAAACGGCACGCCCCCCTCCCGCCGGCCTTATTCTTCTTCAATCCTGGTCTCTGTGGAGGTTCTGGAAAGCCATGCTCTGTGGCATGCTTTTTGGCTGCAGTGTATGAGCGGATTGAGCGTCCATCTGGAGCTTGCCAGTAGTCTCAGGTGCAAGTACTCTCACGGATATCTCAGGATATCGTAAGCAAAAATAACTTGAAAAATCTTGAAAAAGAACTGGAATTGCATGTTACGTACCAAATGTTACCAAGAAGCAGTCTATGACACCAGCGGAGTCCCCCCCGCTTCTCATGCGGGCTTCCAGCTTCCACGACATGGCACAAGCACGCCACACTTGCGTCGGGTCAGAAGATGGTTATTCAAAGCCAAAAGTATCCAAAAGTTATTCATTTGTACCATGCACTTGGTTTTGAGACCTGATTGTCATTTGCCTTGTTTGCACCCATCGTTCGTGATCTACCCACGGCACCTTGGGAGATCAACGCCACTGAGCACGCTGCAGTTCTGACCCAAGCCATCCAAAACAGACTCTCGGAAGCGTTTCCCCTACCGAAGCGCATTAAAACCATACATCAAAGGAGCTTATAAAATCACAACCCCCATGTGACCATGCAGAAGCTCACGGACAGTTACATGAAATCAAGATACCACTATATAATCTGACCTCCCAGCTCTAGTACATCAAGCTCACGGACAAAGCTAGCTAAAACACTGTTTGTCTTAGAATCAGACCACCTAGGAGACTCCGTTGTATAGCGAGAAATTCTTATTATAAAATGGTCATTTTCAGTACCCAGGTGACCTGATTCCATAGCGGGAATTCCAACCGGGATGCTACAGGTTGTTGTTTTTTTTTTCATGGCATCTGACCTGGGTATCGAAGATCATGCAAGCAACTACTCAGTGGAACAGGAGCTTGCAAACGACTTCTTTCCAAGTGGCTAAATCCAAGAAGCACCCATTTGGGAGAAGGCAAAGCCGTTGGGTTTGGTTCCACTTGTCCACTGTCTACAAAGGTTTGAGAGACTCCTCATCATCTTGTCTTCACAACCAAAAACTACCAGTAACAATGAAGGGTGGGCGTCCCGCTCATGCCGGCAACGTGTCAGGAGAGCTGAGATGAGCTGAGCTATGAAAAGTCTGGTGGTTGAGACTAGAGTTGACATCAAAAAGAGGGTCGTTGATTCAAACAGTTCAACCATAGAACTAGGCTCTCAGCTTTCAACCAACCTGACACTTGTCAAAGGGCCACGCTACCCGTGTCGCTGTCGAGACACCCGAAGCTCCTTTCCCAGTCGTGGCCCTTGGCGTACAGGCCCAGGTCCACAAATGCAATACAGTTTTTTCGTCACAGAAACACTCGTCAACACAATCCAACGATCCAACGCATCTTCTTTGGAGTAGCATCCTTGCTCCTAGTAGCTTCTTGCTCCCAGTAGTATGGCCAGGAGCCCCTAGCAGCGTCCTTGCTCCTAGTAGCGATGCCCTTGCTCCTGTAGCTTCTGGCTCCCAGTAGTATGGCCAGGAGCCCCTAGTAGCGTCCTTGCTCCTAGTAGCG